TTTTTGTAGGCTTCAAGTTTTAACAAAGATAACCTGAACCATTAAATCCAAGACTCATACCTCCACAAACTTCTTGAAGATGTGACGGACTTTCATGTCGGTCTGCCCAACCTGCATGTCAAGAAGCTCGTTGCCATAATTCTGAAATATTTCAGCGTTTGGCAAGATGGTGGTCTCAGTGTTCACATTAGACTTGAACTCAACCTCAATCTCCTTGGAATCTGCAACAAGAGAGATGAATGATACACAATGAAATTTTGCATTTTTTCTCAATCAAAATGGAAGGTTTGCAATGAAAAGGTTTGACTTTTATGACTGATATCATAAATGTTTAAAATTGTCATTCTGTCTCATTAAGTCTCCCCTCAAATGGAGTTACCTTTATATGGCCAACAGTGTCAGGTGACTTGTTTTGGGCCGCATACTTGGGTCCCAAAGTTTAACCATGTTTCTTATGGTGTTACATGTTTCCATTCCATTGACTATGAAATTAATTGTTATGTAATATTATGAAAAAGGGTAAAACACATTACCATATTTCAATGCAATTTTCTGCTCAGAGGTGGCATCCATGAACTTGATTTCACTCTTTAGCTCCATTTCCAATTCTTCATCACGCTTCATGTTAGCTGTGACAGTGGCATCGGTATTGATTGATGGGACAAGAAGCTGGACTTGCAGCATACCTTCCTTCATGGCCTTCAGACTGAAAGATGTATCAGTTAGTAAGTGTCATCTTGATGATTAGGGTGACATTAATGTTTTGTCATGAGGATTTCTTACTTGGCACGGCCAACCAGGGAGAGCTGAGGTATATTCTTATTTATGAAGTCCAGAGAGACTGAGTGAGTTCCTTTGCCCTTGGTGTTTCCATCAACAACACCCAGCCTGAGTCCAGCCTCCACATCGTAGTCAGGGATCTGGATGTCAGCAGTGATCACATTCTTCCTTCTGTTATATTTCATGATTGCCCTGGCTTCAGTGGGATCTACACCTGTTGTTGGCCAACCAAGAGATTAATATCACAAAACTCCACTGTGTGAGTGGTTCCAAATTGTGCTAATAATGAGATGGAAAGATTTTCAGCATTGTACTGTACCTTCAGCCCTCAGAATGAACTTCACAGAGTCAACCTTCTGCCGTCCCTCGTCTCCCTCCCTGAGGAGCTCGTAGGCAACAGTGGCTGTGTACTCAGTGACTTCACCAGTAGGGTGGAGCTCCATAGCAAATCTATTAAGATTAATTTGATATTTCTCAGTTAAATAATTTTATTTGAGAGACTACTATTTGCCCGTGGTTTAGAAACTCTCACTCACTTGCTGTCTCCAGTGAAGGGGAAGTAGGGGGCTGTCTCTTGAGAGAAAGCATCAATGTACTGCAGAGCTGTGCAATATTTCATTCCAGCGAAGACGGGAGTGCACTCATTAACATCCACCTTGTCCATCACCATAGGGGGAATGGTCCTCACCTCTGATCCAGTTACTGCCACCAGGGTGTTTCTAAATGTAACAAAGTTAAAATCTGACTTTGGCTGATTTCTATTATTTAAATGCAGAAAGGTTGATCACACAGACAAAAAAAACTTTGCACTTCAACTACATACAAACTTTGCTACTATATTAT